CTGTGGAAACGCCGTTAACCTGCGGGAAGTCCCCTGCGTCCTCATTCACCACCCTGAATGCCCGCCTGCTTTTCCTGTTTTTAAGCGCAAATCCCCTGCGTGTGTGCTGGGGGTTATCAGGAAAATCTTAGTGAGCTTTAATTAGCAGCTAATTTGGACCGTGTCACCCACTCGCAACTTGCAGGTCACCCATGGACCAGAGCAAACATGCCATCTCGGTGGCCGAGAGTGAGGATGTGCCCACTGCTCTGGAAGCATGTTTGGGGCAGCTGGGTTGTAAAGTAACATAAAATGTTTGTGACATCCGTGTGTACAAGCAAATCCTGCTGTGTTATATTTTTAATGACCATTTTACTACATGTCACAAGCTGAAAAACAGAAGAAGAAGAAAAAAAAACCCACTGCCGAAGCGTGTGTGTGCATGTAGGACAATAGAAAATGTTCAATTGAGCTACAACAAAAAAATGCCTGCAAACTTGGAGCTTTATTTAGAATTCAATTTACACAGTACTCAAGCTAGCAGAAATAGCCATTATAAATTATGTGCAACTGGATATGTAAAGAGTAAGAGTTTGTGTGCAAATATATGAATAAGCTGTCCCTCCTGGAATTAATTACGTGCATGCCTTTGCTTGCTCAGACCGCTGAACCGAGATGCCGTGTGGATGCTGGCAAACAGCACTACAGTCCAAGTATTAGATTGCAGATATCTAATTTTCATAGAGTAGTTGTGTGGGTGGCTCCCACTTCAGCTCGGTAGCTTTAAACCATTGGAAATCTCAAGTAAGAAAAACGAGGCTTAAAACTGTAAAAATGACAGCAGAAATGTCTTTAATCACTTATTTAAGCTTCTAAAAATACCTCCAGGGCATTAAAACATGAAAAGAGGAAATACACTTGAGAAGAAGAAACTAGTACAGGGATACATATTTTCTCATTTTAGATCTGAGTAATGTGTTTTCAACCAGCAGGATAAAGCTATCATTGTTTAATTTGGAAAGGTAAGATGGTTAATTAAAGTCAGCTTTTATAACAGAACTGTCTTACTGACTTGTCATATGTATTAACTTCAAGTCTGGAGTTTGGAGAGATGGCTGCTAGAAGATATTTTTTCCCATTCTGATGCAGAAGTTTGAGATACATGGGCCAACTGTTTTTTTCTGAGATGTCCATTTCAATTAATAATTGGTAGCTACTAACTTAGTCTGGATACCTAAATATAGGCTATTTAGGATAAAAATAATAATTTTTCTCTTCTGGATCTGGGAGCTGACAAAATCCCCATTGAGGTTAAAGGAACTTGGATGTAAGATGCGGATTTTGATACTCAAACTGAACAATTAGCACCCTTTAGATAGACCATTTGTAATCCCTTCTGCAAAATACATAACTATTTAGTCTTGTTCTTGGATTGCTGTTCGTAAATGAGGTAAGTGATCACTTGCACTTCTGGAAATTGAGAGTAATGACTTACAAGTTTTCCAGAAAATCTTCATCCCACTTCTGTGCTAAAAATACCTTTTTGTTCATCTTGCATGGGTAGGCTGTTATAGCAGGGCTGTGCATTCTCAAAACGTGGTGACTGATCACAGAATATGAACAGGGAAAGCCAAAATCTCCCCTTTCAGTGGCAAAGGTGGCCAAGCAGCACTCAAGATTCTTCGTTTTGTAAACCGCTAAGGAACCTCGGGTCCCTGTAGCAGCTCATCTGACCCACTTTGGATTAATAAGCATCAGAGTAAAGCTGGTTCAATACATAAATCTATCACTGTCCACGCGGCTAAACCCTTGTACGTGGGCATGGGTGCCCTCGGGGCCAGGTCCCAATTTCTCCATCCTGTTTTGGTGGTGGGAGAGCCTCTCAGAGCTGTGGTGCTGCTCAGCGCTCTCCATCAACCTGGCTCCCAAGGACTGAAGAGAGGAGGAGAGGTCCGGACTCAAATTTCAGCCTTGGCTGCAAGACAGGGCTCCTGATTTCCAGCGAGATCCTTATCAGTGTTTGAACTGCCCTGGCAGTGTTTGAGCCGGTGCTGTGTAACCTCAGAGCAGCAGTAGGCTGCTCCTACTGTAACAAAATGTAGGCTAGACATTGCCTAATTGGCCTGCAAGAGATGGCCCCAAAAGTTCATACAAAATAGCTATGGAAGGTTATAAGGTTTTTTTTTTCCTTTTTTTTTTCCCCCATAGTATTTTTTAATTCTGCCAGAATCTGAAGTATATTAGGTATTTTCTAAATAGAGAAAATAAAGTTACTTCTGGAGGTTACACTTTAAAACAGGAACCCTATAGAAAAGTATCTTTTGTTTCATCAGCCATCTTTGTTTGTATTTGCAGCAGCAACAGAAACACCATTTTGCTTCTGTCCCCTAGGAAAAAACGATATATCAATACAACTGTTTTTTCTTATACCTAAATCAAGCCATAGATTTATTTGGATTCCCACAAAACTAAGTGCTGTATACTTGAAAAACTTCTAAAAACAGGATAGTAAAATCATGCAAGATGTTGTCTTATGGAAATCCTACTACCTCCCTGAGACACAGTCCAATGAAATTGTAAAAAAAATTGGAGCTTCTTATAGCACTCACCTTCATTGCCTGTCTTACAAAAATGTCACTCACATATGTATTTATTTTCATTTTTGGTTTATATTTCAGCTCCTATATTCTAAATATTCTTCTGTGTGCTGATATGCACAGCAAAAATACAAGTTCTGCTCAGCTGAAGTTATCTAAAATCTACTCACCAAGCAGTTGTTATTTTTGTGATGACAAGAATCAGTTGGATCAATGAGAACACCATATTATGCCAATATTATGTCTCCCTTTGAGCTTAATTATTTCCCCAGAGACAAAATAATGTCATCAAACTCTTTTTCTTTCTCATAAATTGTTCCTGTTGCTATGCTGTACTCACTGAAATGACTTTTTCAGGTATTTAGGCTTTAATTGCTAATAAGGTTAGTCCAGCAAGTGCTACTCAGACAATTATTAGATGATGGGCTAAATCATTCAACCATTTTTTATTTTGTTTGAGTTTCACACTGATTTTAATAGGGCGATTCCTGCAAAACTGATAGTCTAATGGGCACTTAGAACTTAATCTATTGTTCAATAGCTGTGAAAGATGCAACACATTAAACCCAAAATCTAATAAGTGATATTTTTAATGACCTTCAAAATTGAGTTGTTCCTTGCCTTTTTTTTTCTCCTCGAGGTTTACCTTCAATTTATGTTTTTCAAGTCCTATATAGTTTCTAAACATGGCAATTTTTGAAAGCCTTAATTTTTATATATACTATACTAATATTTTTTTAATTCATGTAATGTCCCAAATATCTTAGGTAAGAACAACTTTAATTTCATGCAGGTAATTTAAAGTTTAACTCCTATTGAATCCTGATTCAATGTTGACTGTGCTTTAATGCATCTCCCTGACATGAGTCATGCATTTTTACAGCATTTAGGGTAAAAATCAAATATTTAACAATGACAAATAAAGTAGTAAGATCACTTTTTACTTTTTTAAAAAATAAATAGAATATACATCATTATATTGTGGCGCTTGCCCATTTCTTTACTATCTTCTACAATTAAATGTTGATCATTGCACATACTGTAATTTTTGGCTTTTTCATGTAAGGTGTTCTTAAAAGCTGGGCCTGAATCTTACAGAACTACAGACTGCTTCACATTGTGGAGGACATTGACTCTAGCCTCTTACTCAAAGCAGATCTTATACAAAAGTGCTTTCAATCCCTCATATTTGTACAGTCTTACATAACACCCATCAAAAATAAGAGAATTAAATGACATTTAGTAAGTGGGACAAGTCTAAAGTTGTCCATGTCATAGTAATGCTACATAAAAAACAGTGCATTTAACTTGCTTTTGAGGTTGCAAATAAATTTCACTGGGAAAGGTATGAAGTCAATGCAAAGTATTTTGGATTTCCCTTTTTCTTCTTGTTACTGGAAATATTTTATTGAGGAAAGGTCTCCAGGATATCTCCCCTGCATTCCAGCCCTAGCTCCAGGTCTCCTACAAGTCCTGTAGCTGCAAGTCCTGTGCAGAAACTTTGAATAGACTGTGATGTCTAGTCATTCAGGCACTTGAATCACTTCTCTTGCTCATGTTATCAGTCTTGCTGATGGTCCTGACCACATGCCAGTCTTGTCAACAAGTTCAGGAGCAGAATTTGGAGAAGACATTTCTGTTCAGGAAATACTGCAACTTTCATCCCATATCTAAACATTCAAGTCAATTTTGCTATTTAACTCAAATGGGTAAAGTACTGCCTGGGAAACGAGAGACCTGAATTCTAGTTTTCAGTCTAATATTATGTATAGAATCAGAACAAATTGATGCATGTCAACATACTGAGTAAAGAAAGAAGGTAGAACAGTCCACATGCAGCGTGTTATGAAATAATCCTGGCAGGCTGCTCGATGAGCAGCTCATTCAAAGCCAGCTTCCGTCTGACCTTGCATCTCTACACAACTCCAAAGCCTGAAGAACATTGCCACATATGTGACTGGCCTGATGGAGAACTGCCCTGGAGTGAGTTAAACAGTCCTACCTATCCAGGAGAACAGTTTGAATGTATCATTCGTGTCGACACCCCAGCTCTTACCTTCGTTCTTTGACCATTTTGTAGGCTGGAGTATTGCTGCAGTTCAGCTTCTGAGGCTGACCAAAAATCAGAAATGAAATTCTTGTCTACTACTGCTGTTTAATGGAATTTCAGATAAAATTACATCTTTTGAGAGCATACCACTCTTTTGCTGTAGTTTCAGAATGTTCTTTAAAATTTCCACAATGTTTTGTGTCTATTCTGTCATACAAAAAAGATCCCATTGCTGTGAACACATATGTTTCCCAGAACAAGATAGCTAGAATTTTTCTCTCCCATGATGTACAAGCTTGGAATGCTTGATGCCTCATGGGAAGATATTTCAATAGAGAAGCTATTATTGAAAGTGTTGTTGTTAGTTATATAAGTAAAATCTCTGTCTTCAGTACTTGAAATACCTGCTAGGAATCAAGAGGTAATTTTGGGAAAGGAGACTGTATTCAGAGGGACTCTTCCTGTTCCAGACATTGACTGACACCAGAACAACATCACACTCATATCAATCTTTCTGTCTTCTTTACCTTCTCCTGAAAAGGTATCTTTAAAACTAATGAGTAAAGGACCCCAAATCATTCCCCTGGT